GATGCTCGTCTTCACTTGTGAACTGATGGAGATATTCCAGCATTTATTGCTGAATTACTGTGGGAGGAGCTTCACTGATGATGCTATTACTGTGGGAGGAGCTTCACTGATGATGCTATTACTGTGGGAGGAGCTTCACTGATGATGCTATTACTGTGGGAGGAGCTTCACTGATGATGCTATTACTGTGGGAGGAGCTTCACTGATGATGCTATTACTGTGGGAGGAGCTTCACTGATGATGCGATTTTCTGTGGGCGGAGCTTCACTGATGATGCGTTGCTTGTGGGAGGAGCTTCACTGATGATGCGATTTTCTGTGGGCGGAGCTTCACTGATGATGCGTTGCTTGTGGGAGGAGCTTCACTGATGATGCGACTACTGTGGGAGGAGCGTCACTGATGATGCGATTCTTGTGGGCGGAGCTTCACTGAAGAATCTATCGCAGGTGTTTCTGCTGTGGTTTTATTTCTACTCTTCTGACTAATTTGTTTCTTTACATTGTTAAAATATACTGGAACAGAAACTGCTAAATACTTTACCTATAATGAGCCACGTGAGGCATTTTAAATCTATGTTAATATAGATAAATATGAGTTTGACAATGGAATCATGCCGCTTTATTTGAAAAGGTTTATGATGTTTGTCTTCTTTGATGTAAGTTCATTATTGAAATGAATGTAGTTATCATAAAAGCAGACTATATTTAGATTCATATGGACTGCTGTAGTTTGATGAAGATGAGTGTCATTAGTGTTTGTGTTATTGTTGATGTATTGTTGTGTTATTATTGATGTTTGTTCGGCTATTGTGAGAAATAACAGTATTATCTTTCAGTAGAGCATGTTTTATAGGCTTGTATCTTATATAATCAGTTTCTAACAGCAAACACTCAGAATAAAGTGAGATGATCTGCTGATGATCTGAATGTGTTGATCGTCTGAGACTCATCAATATTAACAGAGCTGCTGAAAACACTCTTTCTTTCATGTCAATAGTCCCTGTTTTCAGCTCATTTATTATGCTGATGTCTTCAGATCTCCTGTAAATTGTCATTTAAAGCTCATCTCATTGGTGTCAACAGACTGAGGCTTGTTTGTTACAAACATGTGACTTTATACTTTCAAGCTAATTATTTGTATTTAGTAATTTTTGTGTTAATTTTTTTATTTATTTGTATGAAGGTGTTTTTGGTATTAATTAATCAATTAGTTAAATAAATTACGATCAGCAGACCATTAGTAGGCATTCTCAACTAAGCATTTGCAGATATCTTTTAGGACTATCCAATTAAAGTGAAAAACAGTTGATAACAGTAGAAAGTCTATAAGCTATCAACAGAACACATGCAGTCATGTTTAAAAAAATGTTATTGCCAGCCTTTCCATATTATTTAGTAAAATGGAAAAAATGGGTTGCCTCAAGTAGCCATCTACTTTTTCCATCTATAGGTCTATATTCAGTGTTTAACTCTGCTTAATATCAATAATAAACGGATGCCAAACCCTAGCAGAGTGTTGTTGTTTTTATGAATCAGATCAAACATATTGACAAAAGTATATTTACATATAAATATGTCTCCTATTTGGGCCATACTATTTACATATTTATCTGTTAATTACTGTCATTTGCAAGGAATTTGAATAAATAATGCAGTAATAAGTTATGCAGTGGGTATAGGTGCAGAGCAGAGGGTGGAGTTACACTTTAAAGTTTATTTGTGTTTGTTTCATCATTTGACAGATCAAAGATGGGTTGAACCACTGATGTCACACAGACTGTTTCACTGATGTCCTTACGTTTCTGTGCCTTGATCGTGGTAGTACGCTTGCTGTCTATGGGAGGCTCAGAGAGCTCTCGGATTCCATCAAAAATATCTTAATTTGTGTTCCGAAGATGAACGAAGGTCTTACGGGTTTGGAACGACGTGAGGGTGAGGAATTAACGACAGAATTTTCATTTATTGGTGAACAATCCTTTAACATGTCAAAAGCTTAACTGTTCTGCTACAGCCAGTGCCCCACAATTATGTGCTGTTTGTTTTTCTTGAATCAGTGATGATCCATATCTAGCTTGCATTTTTATTACAGGTTTCTTACATATGTTATGAATGAAGCAAACAGAGATACACTATGTATGCACTTACCTATTATGCCTGGATGAGGTGAACCTGTAGTTATTCTTGCCAGTGTTTACCAGAATTTTTTTAGAACAAATAATCAGCAAATGGTCTTGCTCTAATTGGCAGACTGCCCTCACACTACCTACTATAAAATACGACAAATGTTCTGTATCAAATGATAAGCTCCTGAGGCTGAAAGCCTCCCTTTTAAAGAGAAAATATATGGGAAACACTGTGGCTCACCCTACAACTATGACGGCACAAAAGACACAACACTCTTTGGTGATTTATTCACATTGTTTTCTTTTCAGTTGCCTCCGTCTCAGATGTGGTGAAAAGATATCGGCGGGTCCTCAAACTTGTGCAAAGAGGCTTCAGGATGACCACAGCTTTCAAGAAAGCTTGCGTTTCAAGAAATGCTGTGAAAGACACGGCAGCAATTGCAGAGATTTACATAGCAGACAAAAGTGTCCTAGACCAGTTCAAGGGTAAATACACACTTTTGAAACTAGCACAACTTTGTCAGAAAAAAATGGTTGGTGAACTGGCAGAAAAGATCACTGAAATGAAAAACAACAAACAGCTCATCCCCTTTTCTGCCAAGAAAGACTGAATGTAGGCAACAGGATGTTAACTAGATACGTTTAAGTAAATTATTAACTAGGTGTTAGAAAACACTCTCTGTCTGTATTGGTTCCAGATGTTTTCACCCTCCTTTTCTTCCCTCTCCCTCTCTGCTCGCCCTCCCTGTACAGAGCAATGTTGTCTTCTTCTGAATCCCCCTCCTCCATCTGATCTCTCTCTCTTGTATTATGTTTTAATATCTCTTACTCATATTCGAGGTACGCATGCGCACATGTATGCATTAGCTTTCTGAGTTCAAATGTTCAGACGAGGACATGATATTTAGGACTCCAAGGTAATAGGGTTCGTCCTGAACTATGGATATAGTTCAGCATCCTTCGCCAAGTTTATTCCTAATATGTCCATATTTTCCTGTAATGTGACCATTTTATATAACACATATTCTTGGCCAAAATCCTATATGTATGTCATCTATATCCTCATTGGTTAAAGGGTTGAAACTCCCTTCGACATATGCCTATATACAGTGGGGCAAAAAAGTATTTAGTCAGCCACCAATTGTGCAAGTTCTCCCACTTAAAAAGATGAGAGAGGCCTGTAATTTTCATCATAGGTATACCTCAACTATGAGAGACAAAATGAGAAAAAAATCCAGAAAAATACACTTTGAGGGACTGAGAATTTTCTAGGTGGCAAAGAGAACATAGAGGGACCGTTGTTAATTGCTAACACTAGGTAAGTTTTATTTTTCATAATTGGAAATGCTGGTGGCTGTTGTTCTGGGGTTTTTTCCCTATGCCACACCTCCAATAAGACAACATGGTAAAGACATATGTGCAGCATGGTTTTTTTTTTCTTTCCTCAGGGGAGTTTTTTCATATAATGTTAATTCATGTAAAGTTTGCCACACATAATCAGGCTGTTTAGATCTGATACCCTAGTGAACAATGGGTTGTGTAAATATATTGTTAATAAAACTTTTTCTAATGTCCTGACTATAGTGTTTATTGTATTGTACTTCATTCTCATTTAAAATAGTAAACATGTAGCAAATAATTAATGAATGACTGCATGTGTTCTGATATCTGCAAATGCTTAGTTGAGAATGCCTAGTAATGGTCTGCTGATCGTAAACTTTAGATTAGTTGACAAGCAACATGTAAGCAACTGATGTTTAGTTGATTATCAACAGATATTAAACTAGTGATTTTGATCAAAACAAGGTCTTAAATAATTATTAATTTGATACGTTTGAGACCCTTGAGTAAGGATGATGTAATATGGTCTTGATCATAAGTTGACATGACTGTAGACTTTCAACTGACACATTGATTTTGAGTAGTTGGTAGACAACTTAGAGGATGGTAACTCAATCTACAAAAAGTTAGCTGACTATTGGTTAATAATCCGTTGCGAAAAACATGTAGACAGTCAACTGGCAACTTTTTTGTAAAATCTATAGTTTAGAATTTGAAATGCACCTTAAAATCTACTGGCAGTTAGTTGAACGTATGTTACTTGTCTGTTGAAACAATGTTGTTGAATGTCAACTGATTCTCTGTTGACATGCTACTAAATGAGTACTGATAACTAGTAGAGTCTCAACAGATGGACTATCAAAATAAAGTGTTACCAATTATTATTATTATTTAGTCATTTATCAGACGCTTTTATCCAAATGAGGACAACAGAAGCAATCAATTGTAGCATTAAAACAACTAAAAACAGATCCAAAACTAAAAGCTAAAACTTTATAAATGATACCTATACACGTTTTAAAAATAAAGATATTAAATAAAAATGACAAATGCATACAACACAATTAAAAAACTTAACATTTAAATGATAAAGCTAAAAACAATTCAAAATATTAAAGAACAAAAGGTATAAGAGTATAATAATGATTCTAACATAACACTAACCCTAACATCAGAAACCAACTGCATATATGTGAATGTACAACCACACACACATATTATATTAAATTATAAAAGCTGTTTTAAAATACATTAAAAACAGTGATGTTAAGAAGAAGAGTGTTGTGCTAGACTGAAACCCCTTCACACTCCAGCACAGGAGGTGGTGATATGCAGCTAGAAGCTGGTCTGCAACTCGTCACTAAACCCACAGAAGAAGAAGAAGAAGAAGAAGAAGAAGAAGAAGACGCAGCAGCTGTAGAGTAGAGTAGAGTCTTCTGAGGAGAGGTGAGCCATTCTCAGTTTCTCGCTGTTTAGACTATTGTAATGGATGCAGAACAATATCAGTATTGCTGCTGTGGTTTTATTTGGTATCTCTCTCTTGATGTTTATCTTGGGCAGATCACATTTGTTACAGTAGTTAGTTTGAGAGCGCGGTAAAATTTTGGTCACTGTTTGTTTGTAATCTGTATT